TATGGGATTTTCCCATGTATTTTACCAGGAAACATAGATAGGGCAGGCTAGGAAGGTCAGTGCCCTCCTAACCATACCCAAGCACTCCGAGTTTGTTGGCGATGTCCATTTTGCTCTATGAGTTCATGGTGACCTAACCCTAACCCTAAGTGGAATTTTCCTTCTATGGGATTTTCCCATGTATTTTACCAGGAAACATGGATAGGGCAGGCTAGGAAGGTCAGTGCCCTCCTAACCATACCCAAGCACTCCGAGTTTGTTGGCAATGTCCATTTTGCTCTATGAGTTCATGGTGACCTAACCCTAACCCTAAGTGGAATTTTCCTCCTATGGGATTTTCCCATGTATTTTACCAGGAAACATAGATAGGGCAGGCTACAAAAGTCAGTGCCCTCCTAACCATACCCGAGCACTCCGAGTTTGTTGGCGATGTCCATTTTGCTCTATGAGTTCATGGTGACCTAACCCTAACCCTAAGTGGAATTTTCCTCCTATGGGATTTTCCCATGTATTTTACCAGGAAACATAGATAGGGCAGGCTACAAAAGTCAGTGCCCTCCTAACCATACCCAAGCACTCTGAGTTTGTTGGCGATGTCCATTTTGCTCTAGGAGTTCATGGTGACCTAACCCTAAGTGGAATTTTCCTCCTATGGGATTTTCCCATGTATTTTACCAGGAAACATAGATAGGGCAGGCTACAAAAGTCAGTGCCCTCCTAACCATACCCAAGCACTCCGAGTTTGTTGTCGATGTCCATTTTGCTCTAGGAGTTCATGGTGACCTAACCCTAAGTGGAATTTTCCTCCTATGGGATTTTCCCATGTATTTTACCAGGAAACATAGATAGGGCAGGCTAGGAAGGTCAGTGCCCTCCTAACCATACCCAAGCACTCCGAGTTTGTTGTCGATGTCCATTTTGCTCTAGGAGTTCATGGTGACCTAACCCTAAGTGGAATTTTCCTCCTATGGGATTTTCCCATGTATTTTACCAGGAAACATAGATAGGGCAGGCTAGGAAGGTCAGTGCCCTCCTAACCATACCCAAGAACTCCGAGTTTGTTGGCGATGTCCATTTTGCTCTATGAGTTCATGGTGACCTAACACTAACCCTAAGTGGAATTTTCCTCCTATGGGATTTTCCCATGTATTTTACCAGGAAA